CTTATATAGACCACATTCTTTGGCTAGGATCCTACAATAATGCATTATTAAAGCTACTGATTGTTAATAAATTATTATAATTATCATTATTATTATTATTATGATATATAGGACTTCTTGATTAGTAATATTTTATTTTTGCATGTTCTTATAAGGTTTTTAAGAGTTCTCAAGCCTTGTCATTTTCATATTTTTCTTCAGTACGAAAAGCAGCACAAGTTCTAAAAATAGTTTATCAACCTGATGCTTTCCGGTTTGTCTCTGTAATTACAATTCAGAAATTTTAGTCATTAATTTGAACTCCTCTTGAAGTAATGGCATTTTCTGACACACACATTTTCTTCAGTAATTTATTTGCTAGTTATTTGAAACAACGAAATAATATTTTTCAATTTTTCTAATATTATACTTCAGTTAACGAATGTACGTTATTCAGTACTCGTTCGAACGTTCTTAATGCGTAGCTGAATTGCTGAAACTTCAATAACATGTTGGCTACAGGTAAACCAGTTTGAAAAAACCAACGAAAAACCGAACATGCTGTTATCACATAGAAGCGGAAACTCATTTTGTTTCGTTTAGAACTGAATGACCACTTTTCTTTTCGTCCATCTCTTTTACACTTTTACTAAAGTAATACTTATTCGCTGAAGCAGGTGTTTTGGTTGTTGTTGTATTTAGTTTCGTTTTGAAAGAAGGTTACGCATTAGTAGAATGCTCTAACCAGGAGATTTCAAAAAAAAACTAAGAAACAGAAAAAGTGTGTGCAAAAGACATTAAAATTCCCCTCTTAGTGAGAAAACAAACACACCAGAAGTGCATTAGTTTAATCAGTTCAACTTATCAAGATTACTACACTACTAAAGTTTTCGAAGGTCGAAAGATTCGTGATGTTGATTCAGACAATGTTTATGCTTCGTTGACTGAAATAACTGTATAACATTACCTCATCTCTGGCTCCAAGCAAGCCTTACAGAACCGATGTCCACACTTGGCTATTTGCAATGGTTCACACAAAAGCATCTGACAAATAGGACACTCATAGTCGTTCGGAGGCGGAGATACACATTCGTTGCTGTACCCGCCTTTACTTTCAGTCGCCATTTCTGAATATAGTTTCCGTTTTCCGTATATTTTACCTATCCAGGCGAGAAGTACTTGAGATTTGTCGTTTCATAAAAAACCGCAATAATTTATGACTAGGTACGCAGACTAGACGCAATATTAAACTGGACTCTGGATACTGATTCATGAGTGTGTCACGCGCGCGCAAAATGGTAGAATGATAAATGCAGCGCATTTTTTGCGTTTGCTTAATCATTATTTTCTTTATTAACCTTTGAGTTGGTCATTTAGTCTCGTTTCTCGTCTTTTCTTTTCTCCCATTTTTTTCTCTTTTTCTTTTATGGTTTTTCTTTTTTCTCTCTCTCTCTCTTTTCTCTTTCCTTCCACTTATTTTTCGAATTTGCCTTTCCTTTCTTTTCTTTCCCTTCCATTTTTTCGTTTCATTTTTTCTTTTTTCTTTCTTTTTTATAGCGGCTACCAGGGGCGCCTTCACATGCTTTCAGTACAACCCCGTTGAGCTGCGCACGACCTTATTCCCCCTCTTCTTTTCTTTTCCACTTCTTATGTATCTCTCATTCTTGTTACGTTATTGCTATTATCATCTTCATTTCCTTATATGCATTTACATTATTCACGTCCATCTATCATTATAAAATAACTGATTTCTTTCGCGCGTCTGATTGGTCGAAATACCGTTTTATATCAAAGTATTTATTTTATTTTCATTTTTTCCCGCTACTCGTCGTGGTTTCCTACGCTTCACTAGTGTTCTCTCAGCATCCCGCGTGTTTATATCAGAGTATTTAAAACGCTCATGTCATTTCCCCCCGCTACGCGTCGTGGTTTCCTACGCTTCTCTAGTGCTCCCACAGCTTCCCGCATCCTTTTTAAATCACAGTATCTAAAACAGAAAACTGTTGTAAATTTCTTAATTTCAACTTATATTTTGTCACTGATGTGACCGCTCTAAATGACATGCAGATCGTGTGGTCAGTTATCACACACGTGTATCGCTATTATGTCAGTCAGGTGGGGCAACAGACCATATGGTTGATTGGTCATCTCACATGTCTTGCTTTGTTACATGTCCCATACAGGTTCACTGTACTGCTCGATTACTGAACAATCTTCGTAGCTCAGTCAGACATGCATATCAGTTATTGAAAGGGCAATTCATATGTTTGGCATGCCAAGCCACTTCATGTCCTATCCCTTTTTGGGCTCATAAATCTTGTAGTCATGTACAACTGAGTTTCAAGTTTCAAGTTTATTTTATAAATGTACAATGTTTTGTTTTCATAATTAAAGCGCGCCAAAATAGCATTTCAAAATCGCTTCTTTTGGTTGTATAACTTTTTCCTTTGATCGTCAGTTTTTTTGGACTTTGCATTTACCATGTATTCCATACTCGGGCGTAAATCTTTGAGTCTTGTATAATGGCGTTTTAGTTATTTAATCGAAGCACTAAAAATAGTATTCCAAAATTGCTACTGTTGGTTTAATCTCTTTAGTCTGCTACTTTGTATATACCTCATACAGCAATATAAATCTTTGATCAGTAATGTACAATATTTCTTTAAGATTAGAACTATATGCTTAAAAGCACTACAAACTACGTTTAGTTAGACTTTAGTTAACTTTTTTCTTTCTATAATTTTTTTCCTTCTCTTGGGTCTCGCTCCGGTCTTTTGCTGTTTTGACGGGACGTCACGTCAAAAATAAGAATAAGAATCAAGATAAAAATAAAAATGAAAGTAAAAATAAGAAAATGAAATAAAAATTACTCGAAGCGAAATAGTACCTCTGAAGCCCAGAGTATTTTTATCCAGTAATGCACGTCATATATTTCGTATACTTTTTCACGAATATATTTGAGATCTTCCAAGTTTCGTACATCATACTTTGGATTGTATTTGCTTAGTTCTTCGTGTTTTTTTAGCTGTTCTTTCAACTTCGAAGTAATTTGTGTCCTATATTAATCATTCAGTTGACAACCTGCCGAGCTGCCAGAAAATGAACCTTTGTATAAGTAACTCGAGCTCTCCCATTGACATTGCTTTTAGTAGTCACATCAATAACCCACTTGGGAGACCGGACACCTTTCCAAAGTAGGCTTTCTCATAGGCCGCCGTATGTATCCGATTAAAATGACAGCGGTGAGTTTGTTTTTACGAGTCAATAAAGCATGGTGCTTTTGTGGTTTGTAAAACGATTGATTCGCAATTCTGCATCAAAGTGAAAGCCGAGATTGAAAGCAGTTATTGCGCTTTTATTCTTTATTATCTATCAGAAAATATTTCTATTTGGTCTATTTAAAGTGTTTTATCGTTAAATCTTTAAAAGCGTTGAATATGAACTCTTTTTACTCTTCAATTTAATCGTAATTGAAGTTTTTTGATCATGCGAAATTGTAGCTATTTTTGATGAACTTTCGTTTGTTCCAGTCATTAGCGTCAGAATTCGGCTTTGAAAAGCAGCGCTTAGCTTGTTATAAACTACTAAACCGTACAATGAAACAACGCCTAAAGATGAGTAAATTAATATTAATTACAGCAAAGCTTATACTTGGACTGGTTGTCCATGTCTAAAAATGCATAAGAAAAAAAGAAGATGGAGAAAGCGAAGGGATCAGAAGGATAATGAAGAAGGTAAAAAGAAAATGAAGAAAAAAGAAAAAGAAAAGAAAATAGAAAATGAAACAAAAACTAGATAACAATGTTCACTAAAGTCTGTTAGACCGAAGTCTACCTGATATATAGGTTAAATCAAATAAATAGGTAACTTCCTTCCGACTTCTCTTCAGAACCTGTTTCACTCTTCTTCATCCTCTAACGTTTTAGAATTCTCATTGTCCTCTCTTTGCCTTTGAAGAAAACTTTCCTGGCCATTTGACCACAAGTGTTGTTGTTTCATTTGAGGCCCATCTCACGCTCAACGCTCACTCCTATTAAGTCATTAGCCATCTCCCAATGAGTTAGTGAAAACAACTTTCCACTAATTCAGTACATCTCGTATTTTTTCACTTTTCCGAATGGCCCACGTTTTTTTATGATAACATCCTTTCCTATCTTGATACTAATCGGTTTAAAAATCATTTTGCTTGTGTTAATACACTTTAGTTGATGACTTAAAAGTCCGTCAATAGTACCAAGCTAGTTAAGAAATCTTATCTTTCTGCAGTGTTTGAATAGCCGACCTTTCCTCGCTATGGCTTTTGTAGTCTTCAGTCTTGTGTCACTGCTACGAAGTTCTTGGTACTCACATACAGCATTCTTGTCGTAGATCTGAAAAAACCGAGTTAATAAATCGACATGTCCGTTGATAAACTTAAACCTTGCTCAAATGTGCTTTAAAAGGCAGTTTCATTTGTCATTTACGATTGTTCATTTTGTTATTGATGTATGTCTATTCTATCCTCGTGAGTTATAAGTCAATACCTTAGAGTCGATGTCAGTGTCTCGGTAACTGTAGACTCGAAATCGCAAGGTTTTAGATGAAGGAACACTTACTGATACGCGTCTGTTGAGAAGAATCTGAATCAAGCGTCTCGTTTCTTTTCCTTGAGCACAAGTTGCAGCTACAAAGCATTACTTTGTATTCATCCCGGAAAGTCTTGTTCATGACGCCGTAGATGAATGGATTTAGCGTAGTACTCAACTGCCCTAGGAACGTGTACATTAGATACACCTGTCGAGACAGTTCCCACGTTCCCTGACCAAACCCAATGAAATCAACGATACTGATGGGAATCCAGCAAATCAAGAACCCGCAGACGGTCAAGAAAAGGGTTCGTGTGACATTGATGTCCTCGATGGAAACACGACGGGTTGAAGACTTGTTGTTTGATTTTCTCAAGCTTCGAATGCGCGCTTGGTGCTCTCTCAGCATCTTGAAGACCGTGTAATAGCACGATGTGAGCACAAAGATGGGCACCACGACGTAGACGTACCCCAGGAGTGTAAAGAAATCAACCTCAAGGACTTGAAAACAGAACACCTTGCCAGCATGGTACTGATAACGATGCCCAGACAACAGATACGGTAGTGGCTCGCAACATGAGAAAATCCAAACTGCTACGATCATGATCTTCGTTTTCTTTGGCGTGAAAAGTCTTTGATACTGCTGAGGGCGTACGATTAAAAAGTAGCGGTTGACGGCAACAAGTGTCATGGTCAACAGAGACACACAAGCTAGAGAAGCTATAGCAAAGCCCTGGAGTTGACAGACAAATTCTCCAAAAGTGCGCCTACCCGATATGAGGACGGAAAGGCACGGTGGTGCACATATCGCCGCCATCAAGATATCCGCCAAGGCGAGAGAGACCACGAACTGGTTGGGGATGGTACGGAGGTTGCGGTTCTTGTAGACGATCCACAGCACAAGAAAGTTGCCGAGAAGCGCTGCGATGATAAAACAGGCGCAAACACTTGTCTCGAGCGCGACCAAGGTATTTGAACGGCTCGCTAAGAGATACTCGTACTTCTTAAGGGAAGACAGAACTGAAGACAGCGTTGATGGAACTGTTGATGGTACTGTAGAAGGCGTCTGAGAAGTCATTTCTCACAGGAAACAACTTTGCCGAGCTTTACAAAAAGGTTCATGCAACACCAAAACTGCGACTGGATACCGCTTTCGGCCGACCTCTATTTATATGACTGTAATTGATATGGATATTTGGATTGGAAAGCCTTTCAATTTTCATCATAAATCTCCACCTATGATTTCCTTTGTCCTCATTGGCTTAGGAGATGCATTCTGCGATAATTCTCGATTCTATAGGTTTTGGACAAAATGTCAAAGTCAATTAAGTTTCACTTCATTAAGAGATTTGATGTCCGATCACGGAACACATGGCTGTCCTAGAGTCCAAATGACGTCACCCGTGGATATATTAAAATAAATTAAAAACCACAAATAGTTTCGAAATCTGTAACTTAATAATTCCATAACTGAAACAAGTCTGTACTCTTAAAAACCAAATATCGATCCAACTTAAGATATTAAACTAATTCTTTGAGTATTTTTTGGTGAAGTTCTGATATGAGAGATCGAGCGAGGAGACGTTTCAGACATCTTGCTATAATGAACTGATTAATGGCGCCAGTAACGTCGTTTGAGCTGGTTGGAGTTTGCTTTTGTAAATGCGCTTTTTAGAAACGACTTTTCTTTCTTTGTTCTTGTTTCGTTTTATATTGGATTGGCATTCAGTGATTTTCTTTCTTCAAATCCTTTCTGTTTGACGGTTTATTGGTGTTCAGTCTGGATTCTCTCATTTATCTTTCCTTCATTTCTTTCTGTAGTCGGTTTATTCTCTTTTCCATTTTTACCATTGTTTTCCCTTTCCTCTCAGTCTTCCATTTATTTTTTTTCTTTCTGTCGTTCTCTCGCTTTCTTTCCTTTGCCATTCTTCTTTTCTTCTCTTCTTCATCCTCCCTTTCTGTCGTTGTTTTATTCTTTTTTCCTTTCTACCATTTTTCCTTTTCTCTCTCTCTTTTTATCCCATTCTTTTTTTYCCCTATCTATCGTTTTCTCGCTTCTTTCCTTTTCCTTTCTTCTTTCCTTCTTTAAAGATCACATTGTCTTTCTTTCTTATCTTTAACAAACCTATCTTCCAAACAACCAAAAGACTAATACGGTAGTTATTATGTCTTTTACAGCCAGACTGACGGGCCCACCAGAAAACGAAGTCATAAATCTTTGAACAACTCTAAAATCATCCAATCATGAGAGACGTGAAGAATATCTCTTTTCTTAGCCGGAAGTTGTAGTTAGTATTTCTATGTGTGCCCTTATTTCCCATTAGAGGTTTTGATATAACTTGATATTACCGTGAATATGAGTCAAGTGTGTAAATAGATAAATCTTTTAGTTTTGAAGTGTTTTGATGGGTGTAAGATGGCTGTATCTGAGCCTGGCCTTAATCGTGAAAGGAATCATATATCATTATTTTGAATTTACATTTTCAAACAAATTAAAAAATAATAATTTATTTAATTAACTCTTAGCTATGATATTTATTTATTTTTTAAAATTTTGCGGCAAATATTTATTAGATCAAGGAAATTTCTGATGGACACAGAAAATAGGCCTCTTTACGTTGGGCGTAATATTTTCTCATTTCATACCACACGTCATTCCTTTGAGTATTACTTCTTTATTTGATGGTTGTGCATGAGAAAACATAAATATTGATGACTCTTAAAACTCTTAAGACTCACTTTTGAATTCAGAAAAAAAAATATTCAGAAATCAGAAAAACTAAACAAGAAACTCCTGGATTCGATCGAGGCTAAGCTCGCATACAGTGGAATTATTCTGAAAGAATCTTATTCTCGAGAGAATGACACGTGGTCTGAAAAGGGAAAACTTTACGCCCAAGGTAAAGAAGTGTGTTCACCGCTTTTCCAATTCTGTTCTTTAGTCAAACACCAAGCATTCATTCAACACTGTAAAGTTATTTCAACGAATTGTTCAAATCTGGACCTTGCTGTCTCAATGGCAACTTTGCTTTTGACCTGTGAATATATAGGGCGCGGAATCTCTAACAGCCAAGTGTTCCCAAGTGCCTTTGCGAAACTACACTAGCTTCAAGCCCCAGCTTAGCGCAGACCTTATTGTACTAGGCACTTTAATAATCCTTATGTACCGCAGTCGTACATTATGAATTCATATACAATTATGCGACAGAATAATCCATTTTTTTCTATATTGATAGCTTGTCAGCATTGTAGTCGAGGTCAAACGTTCCATGCCTCTTTGTCGCCGCAATCCAATGTTTAATATTTTCATAGCGTTGAAAAAAGATTAGTTCTTTGGCGGCGTCCTCATACACGTGTTCATATATCATTGATAAACTGCGTACTGATTTTTTTCGCCAGCTGTTAACAAGTTTCGATATTTTGATGTGCCAGAGCAGCAGGGTTGATAGGTTTTTCAACGTAAAACTGCCGTACGAGGCAAATCAGTTCTTCATAAGTTCCTTCGTCCTCGTCCTCGTCCTCGTTTTTCGTCTCGAGTTTCTTTTCTCCAACGTCGTTTTCTTCCGTTTCTTTGCTGTTTTCGTCTAGTTCAGGTTCTAAGGAATTTAACCTAGAAAAGAGAGAATTTAAGAATTTAACCATTTTCCATACATTAGTTCACTGGTCAAACACAAAGCATTCAGTCGAGGTTGCAAGGTTCAAATTTGAATAATCCTTGGAAAGGACCTTGGCGCCTCGTTTGAGCGCTTTGTGTTTGACCACATAGTAAATATAATCGAATAAACTATGTATATTTATAAAATATTTCAGTGAGATATGACCCTCGCGCTGGTTGGCTGAACACCGAATATATATAGATCCCTTGTATGTGACATCAAAGCAGCTCAATCTGGGGGACAAAACATAAAAAATTCTAATCTCCTGAGAATTGAAACTGACCTATTTTGTGCCCCAGATTGAGCTGCATTCCAAAGTGCTGCAAGGGTCTATTGACAGACAGAGACACCGAGCAAAGTCGTCACAAAATGTATTCTAATAAAGCAACTTTGAAGTGTGACGTCACTCGTGTGGGAAAAAAAAGACTTCCGGGTCCAAAAATTAAGCGCAATCCTATAAAGATGTTTCAAGATTTGACAAGATTGATTGTCTGAAGTTCAAATTTCTGGTGGAGGTTAGCTCTTTAAAAACGTGTGCGCGCGTCTGTGACACAAACACTCTGGCAATCTCGTACGCATGGCCGCAGTCCAAAAGAAACGCAGGCTCTGGGTAAGAAATTGACACTGACAACTTCACAGCATTCGAAAAAGTAAAAGAACTCTTGGGTACGCGCCTCGTGTCCCTATACTTCTCTTGTGCTCTACTCCTTTCCAGCTGCTCACGTGCACAGCGTGTTAATATCACAGTATAGAGAAACGCGCGCCTTTTCTGTATGGCTACCACGTGACTATTTTACGTAATCTGGATGAACCTATGAACTCGTACTCACGTGATTAGACTTTCTTCGGTCGATTCGGATGTTCTTTCCTCGTCGTTAGAGTTCACATTTTTTTCTGAAAAACAACACAGTAGCAGTATATTTAAACTGAACTTTGACAGGGTTTTCACTAGAGCGGTTTTCGTATGAGTGGCAAACGATACGACATTTCCGTAGCCATACTGTTCCTTACACCGTAACCGTAAGTTCGCGTTGTGATAGGTTGAATCACTGGAAGACAATGGGAAGCCGCCTTTACTTTCTAGTTTTTCCTTTCTTTTTTTTTTTAATCTTTCTCCTTTTTCTCTCGACTTTTTTCTTTCGATTTGTAATTTTCTAAAAAAACGGTGTTACATTCGATAATAGTGGGAGTTTTTTAAATATCTCATCAAATATATTTTTGTCTCTTAGGCTATTAAAAGTCAACAGAACAAGAAGAAATAATAGCATCACTGAGAAAGTCTCTAGATCTTCGTCTTTCAAGGTGAGAAAATATACACATGCACAATAGCACTATTTCTTTGATTATCAAAATAAAGTTCAAAATCGTTTCGCCAATCAACTGAAACTGGTCAGACTTTCTCAAAGACTATCCTAGCGCGTTTAGCCCTATCACACTCCGCATTCACCTCCAGTGAGTTAGCGATTGCTCTTGGCGCAAGTGCAAATAAATCTACGAAGAACAAGTACACGGAACATATGAGACGGTTGTCATTTGTATAGTATGTGTAATCTTGCCTACAGCAGATTACATTTAACGATAAGGACATTTACTTTACAAGAGGTTTGACGAATTTACTGACTTTCCCGATGAGGCTGTTGAACGATAGAGTTGATTCTCAAATTTTATCAAACCCTGAAATAACCATTGGGCCAGCTGATGTACGTCAAGGCAAGACTGAGAAATAACACTAGGAAATGAAACACAAGAACGAAAACAAAAAAACAAAACAAAACAGACGGACATACAGTCCTAACGAAATTTACAGTAAGAACCTTTCCAATTCGTATCTATCCCAATTTCTACTCGAGGAGACGGTATCCACGGCAACCGCGCTTCGTTCTGATCGATATCGCAGCTGCTTTATTAGTTGATCGCAGAAGAAAATTTGCACTTCGTTTAGAATAGAATTACATGAAAGGATCATTTTTCATTTTATCAAGATAAGATACTGTATAAATAAGTATTATATTTGTGGTTGTGTTGATATATGAAAGTGTAGATAAATCTGTGGAATATTGGTGAAGTCATTGTTGAATTATTCAGACGCATTTGTAGAACGCAGAATATTCAACCTGTCAAGTTAACAGGAAGCTCTTGCACTTAGGCGATAGATTTTCTCAGTAAAAGATGTCAAATTTAATACTCTTGTTTACCTGAGCTTTTCAAAAGATTCCTTTTCTCGATAGAACTGCTTTTCTCGTCTTCTAAAGCTGGTCTGTGGTCGTTGTTTATGCTTGGAAATGAATCATCTCCTTCGAGGTCGAATTTTGATGATATCGTGTCTTGATCGTCCTTCTCATCCTCAAAACAACTTCTCCTCCATTGATCCATGCTGTTTACTTCCCAACGATAAGAATCCCTAATTAATATCTTCTTATATTCACCTGGATTTCAATCTCTAAAACTAAAAATCATCCAAGGAAAGAATACGTGAAAACATTACTCAGCTTATTCATCGAACTACAGATCGTTTCAACCTCTAAGAAAAAACACGTATTCTGATTGGCGGATAATTCGATGAAATTGAGTTAATTATTCATGTTTTGCAGGTGTAATTCTGGTCGTCTCTCAGGCTTTGACATGTGACCGACATTAACTATAACAAACAATATTTGTAGTACAAATATAACAGTTAACTAAACTGAAAACTTGATAGTTATAAACGAACTGACATTTTCTTTCAAAAGGATCGTTTTATCTTGTTTGGTTTCGTTGCTAAGTTTTCTTTATTTAGTCCAAAAATTTCACTCCACTAATCCCTGTTATAATTCAATTATTTTTTTAATTTCTTCAATATCTTTACAAATCTAAAAATTACGATGAAACTTAGCTTTCAGTGTAATATGAGAACACATGAGGCCCAAATGATGAACATCTATTTTATCCCTTCGGCAATAGTTACATATGGAAAGACAACATCAAATGTTTACTTTTTTGTAGTTTTATTTATTTTTTACATACCTGTCAAAGATTTTCAATTGTGTTGCACATGATTCCAACATTTCTAAGACTTGATATTTTGTAAAGAGTCTTGTGATTTTCTACATAATTATATCAACAATATCTTAAAGTTGACCCAAAAAAATTCACTTCTCCATTTTGATTAGCTCGGTGAATAGCTCAGTTGGTGCGCGACCTTCACAGCAAGAAGTCTACCTAGACAGTTCGATCCACAGGATATTCGCATCTGTTTTGACTTCTCTCTTTCTGTGTAGCTTCAGCTTTGAATACTCGTAATAAGGAACGCTGGTAGCCGGTATGAGGGGGTATTAAAGTGCACACCTTCGAGCGCTATATACATGAGCCCCTGGCTCGGGAGAATTTGCCATCCTCTCAGAGTTATGGAAGTAAATTAAATGAACTTTACCTTTTACTCTCAGGGCGATGGTTAATTCAGAAAGACACAATCCCATGCCACCCTTCCCCAGACAATCCATTTTAGTTCGATGAACAACTGAATAGTTCATTTCCAACATTTCTCCAAGAAATTCCAGTATTTTATTTCCCCCAATTCTTCCATCCCATGCCCAATCAGTCACCTCCAGGATTTTTCTGAAATTCAGGATCCAATGAGAAAATTCGTCTACCACTTGAATATTAATTGCTTGGGGTTCCTCTGTGACCCTCTCACCGCCAGAGAGTTGATCAAAGTGTATTGGCCAAATAAGACTATTCGCACACCAGCAAATAAAGTATCATGTTTGGGATCCTTGTGGCTAAGCTGAGAAATAAACTACATCATTTATACACACAAAAATCAGTTTATTTCTAACACTGACTCCAGGAATAAAAGTTTCTTGTAATAACCTATTAGACACTTCTATTTTCTGCTAATCACTGCCATTTTATTGTCATCCATTTAATTGATGGTGCAATAATTTTTAGATAATTGTAATCCGAATTGGAAAATCATTTCCACGTATGCTTTCTGAATTACATAAATTAGTAGATACTAAGATACACTACAGTCAAAGATGGCAGATCTACTTCAAAAATTTCCAGAAACATCCACCTATAGTAGGATGGTCCCTTACGTTCTAACTACATAAATCAGTAGACGCTTAGATAGACTACAGTCTCGAACAGTCAACTATGATGGCAGATCTACTTGAAAAGTAAAGCCATGACGATGCTAATGATGGCTAATATGCCAGAAACAGCTAAAGGTGTCTGACCCCCTTTAGGACCGGATGGAGAAGGGACAGGAGTTGTCTGAGGCACGTCCGTGTTACATAGACTACCTTCACAGCACTGAACATTACATTTAGTGATATCTCCTGTGCTGTTCATGCTGTTACAGAGCATGTTGCCAGAACACATCATCGAAGACACTGAACAGTTTCTGGATTCTTGTTGAATAAGGGCCCCTGTCATTGGGTTCTTGACTGATATCTTGACAGTCATACAACGGTCAAATGGCATACCTGGAGCATACTCACCGCATTTCTAAAAATCACATAAAAAAACATATATAAGTATATACCACAGGAGATACATTAGTACATACATTAGTACATACATTAGTATATACCTACATACACTAGTATGTACCATTAGTATATACCACTTGAACACTACACAGCAATGAGTGATTACACTTGCACACTACATGCGCAAAGCAATGAGTGATTACACTTGTACACTACATGCGCAAAGCAATGAGTGATTACACTTGTACACTACATACGCAAAGCAATGAGTGATTACACTTGTACACTACATGCACACAGCAATGAGTGATTACACTTGCACACTACATGCACACTGCAATGAGTGATTACACTTGTACACTACATGCGCAAAGCAATGAGTGATTACACTACGTGCACACTGCAATGAGTGATTACACTTGTACACTACGTGCACACTGCAATGAGTGATTACACTTGCACACTACATGCGCAAACCATGAGTGATTACACTTGCACACGTCACCACATGCACACTGCAATGAGTGATTACACTTGCACACTACATGCGCAAAGCAATGAGTGATTACACTTGTACACTACATGCGCACAGCAATCAGTGATTACACTTGCACACGTCACCACATGCACACTGCAATGAGTGATTACACTTGTACACTACGTGCGCACAGCAATGAGTGATTACACTTGTACACTACATGCGCAAAGCAATGAGTGATTACACTTTCACCACGCAAAAATCACTATTAGTTTACATGTGGATAACTTTTTAACATATCATTCCTTACTTTTTGTTTTGGTGCGCTGCAGCTGATCAAAGGAGTACCCGTACCGTTTGAACCCATTCCCTCAGGACTACATTCGTAACACGACAGTGATACGTTAGATGCTGAAAGGTAAGCTAACTGTTAACTAAAGTACAATAACCGGTAAAAAAAATAAATGACATATATAATCTGTATAATCGTTTGAGGCCCTTTTCAGATTTAAAATTATATATGATATCTTTTCGTACGAAGACTGTTCGATAAAAAGTTATAAATTACCTGGTTTAGAAGGTGCCAATCCACTACCTATAAGGGAAAAGATAGATAAGGAATTATGATGATGATGGCAGTGATATAATGGTGGTGGTGATAAGGTGTAAGGGTTATGGGATAATGATTGCGATGGTAATGATGATGATGATGAGGATGTTGGTGATGGGACTATGATTGTTCTGATGATAATGATACGATGGTGATGGATTGCATTGGTGGTGACGGTGAATGATGATGCTGAAAAATGTTCATGAGCAATGATGTTGATTATTTTCCTGAACCTCCCCTTTTCAAATGATTTTACGCCTTGGTGTTTTACATATCGCTCCAACTACCAGCAAATTCAATTGTTTTTTAGATACGTTTCACATTGGATAACGTACAGTTATATAAAGAGACAGCCAAACAGCTGTGCTGTCTATAAATGTTCCAATATTTGCTCCCTCAACATTCCATAATCTCTTACTTAAAACAATAAAACTTAAGATGGCCGCCGTATCAGTAAAACGGTCTATTAAGATCTTCTTAAAAGTATACTCGTGCGAATAGATTACCTGGAGGGTTAGAACCATCGTTGCATAAGTCTCCTGCACAGCAGCTCATGTTGCATGATTTTATTCTAGGTTCCTGACACATCTGCTGTTGGCCGGCTTCAGTACACATCATGCCTCCTATTATACAGTTCCGCGTTTTCATGGTCATTCCCATATGGTCTAGCGGTTAGGATTCCTGGCTTTCACCCAGGCGGCCCGGGTTCGACTCCCGGTATGGGAACATTGGTTTTTAGGGGACTTATATAGGGCTAACCTCAATGTCTTCCTTTTCAAAATATGTAATCTGCATTTTTTTGAATAAAGTATTATTATTTTCATCATTGCACCACCACCACCCGGCATCTCCATCATGGTACGTAATGTATAGCATCGATCATTGGGGGCTGGACAGGTAACCTGGGTTGGGGACTGACAACTGTTTGGACCCGTACTGTATGCTTGACAGACGTTGCATTCGATACTATATCCTGAGAAATAAAAAATCTTTATTTTAATCTTTATACGGAGAGTAGTTGTCGAGTTTCCTTTGTGAGAGGCTTTTATTTAATTGAACCTTGGTTCGTTACGTTTCGTGATGTATACTAGACAAGCCAGCAAAGATACTGAGAAAAAAGCTTATCAATATGCGAAAGTAGGTGTACCATGTAAAGCAGCTGCTGAGCTGAACGGTTAAGCTCCCAGCAGCTGGTTGTATTATTGTGACTAATCTCCGACCAAGTATTGGGCTTTCAATGGGCATACCAAGCCATCTATTCGGGCAGAAAATAATATGTTAAAAATAGTGACGGAATGACCTGTGCACATCTATCCAACAAATATTGATCACTTCTAAACATCACAGCCCAGGCCATGAGAAATGTTAAAGTAGTGCTTTTACTTAACCCTGTTAAATACACTAGTCAATATACTAATAGAGGGTAGTAGGTGTTATTTTCATTGTTTTTTATAAATATATATTACATATTACTTATAAATAGGTTCTCTTGTGGACATACGGCCGACTGATGAGACTGCTCTATCAGTTTTGCTGTACATCAATCATTGTTTAAAAATAACCTCCTCCGCAAACATTGCCTTGACTCTTTTTACTCCTTGGGCTTCCTGTGGCGAAGACAATTCGCGTTTCTCGTTCCTAGTTCTTCTCTGCCATAAGATTTAACACAGCGATCCCAACGGAGAATATATATGGAGTAGCCTGCGTATGAGGCTAGTGTAAAAAGAGATAACAATTTTTTAAATAGATGCAGGGAAAGTTTTTTTTTTTGCAAGTTGCCTATTAAAGCATTTCAAAATTTCAAATTTCTAGTTCTTCACAATTTTCGTTGTATATCTTGGAGTGTATTTTTTAACTCTTTTCAATACTGTTAATTAAAACAATCGTCAATTAAAAATGCAATTTTAAATATCAGATATATATGGCCGGGCAAAACCGCAATATTTTGGACAGCTCTTTACGTGGTTTAGGAGAGATTAGGTTTTCAACAGCTTAATCTATACTGCGTTGATTTTAGGCTTTATATAGAGATTTTACAACAGAAAATACATCTTAATTGAGAAGTGGATTTTATATTGAATGAACCTTTTCTTCTCTCTATATAATAACACCGAAACATTGCTGCCAAACATACTATCGTTTTCTCGAAAAACGATTCTCGAAAGTAATTTATGTTAAAAAGGTTTTTTTAATGTGTTCCGGTGGTTTTTCCCCGACCTCGTGGCAATTAGGGAAAAATCCTGTGGGCACAATATATTTCACACAGTACTAAAATGAGTAACATTTGTAGGTAGTAATACTGCAACATGGTACTGATTGCGTGTGAGGATAGGTATCTCTTGTAATGATGTGATATTAAATTTCGATTCTTTCATTCCGTGACGTGGACTGATATCATTATCCGATACTGATACTCCTTGAAAATGTACAACCTTTTCGCCTTTACTTTCACTTTCTTACGAACACAATACATTAACGAGCACTTTCACTTTACTCAGGTCCAAAAGAGTAACATTTCAGTAGTTATACTGCAACATGGTACTGATTATATCCGATTCTTTCATTCCGTGATGTGAACTGATATCATTATCCGATACCGATACTCCTTGCAAATGCACAAACTTTTCGCCTTTACTTTCAATGTCTAACTAACACAATACATTGACGAGCACTTTCTCTTTACTCAGGTCCAAAAGAGTAACATTTCAGTAGTTATACTGCAACATGGTACTGATTATATCCGATTCTTTCATTACGTGATGTGGATATCATAATCCGGCGATACTCCGTAAAAAAGTACAATTTTTTCGCTTTTATTTTCGAACCAACGCTGTATGTCTGATAAGTATTTATGATGGCAGTTCGGAGTTCTGCGTGAAAAACCGCACCGTATATGATATATGATATATTTTTATATTATGTATATTTGTTTATCTTTAGATAGGTTAATACTTTAATGTAAGCTAGATACTTATGACACATAAATAAAGGTTATTATTATTATTATTATTATTATTATTATTATTATTATTATTATTATTATACATAATAATTCTGCGAGCCAGCTCTGAGACAAATGATATCAAGCTGTTTTTGGCGGTTAATAAGGTTGGTCGTGTAAAACCGATGTCAATATATTTTACGTAGGACTTGCAGGGAGTTATTTCGGCCTATTTTTTCCCAAGCTAGAACCTCATGTTTCTGCGGTTTTCCATATTCTGCGAATTAGGTTGCTGCGAGCTGCACGCCGTCCATCAAAATAATCAGCTTGTACCTTTTATGTTCTTGACKGGCGGCAGTAAAAAAGAAAACAATTTTGAGTTCGCAGAATATCGAAAACCCATTAATAAATAAAAGATAATATATAATAAAATATATCGTTGATGCAAGATGTATTACAAGTCATAGATGTGTCATGCTGAAACCGTATCAGTAACTATAACCACTAGTGGTACAAGAAACAACGTGCTTGGGTCTTGAGCAATCGATACAATGTCTGCTTCGGTACTATCAAACTTAACTTTAGCTTAAAAATCATCTTTTTTCGACATGTACCAATGAATGTGTGCGAGGAATAAATCATTGATTGATTTATTTTTGATGAGGCGGTTTTTCAAACTGATCTGAAAAAGAGATCTTGCTGTTTTAGATTAGAGAGCCGCTCCTCGGCAAATCACGTTCAGTTCAAGTTACATATAGACTGACTTTCAACTTGTCCTGAAAGCTCACCTTGTGGGATAATAGCGAGGAAGACGACGATAAGGAAAGTAAATTGCTTCATCTTGATAACTGACGGAACAAGTCGAGATCGCAGAAGGCTAGGAAATCTCGTGATCTCTGCCTCAGTAGTTCAGAACTTGGCCTATGCCGAAAATAAAACTGGTGTCAAATTTATTTGCTTGGTACCGACGTAACACACCTCATTGACCAATGAAATCGGCTTCCTATGAATTACGTATTATAAATGAGGGGATGGGAGCAAAATAAAATAAAAGTAAAATGCTCGACTGATACTTTAGTATTTAGCTGTCAAACTTGTGGAAGTGATCTTGTACAGACCCCAAACTGAAAAACTACTCTTACACTTACAATTCTACGACTCGTAGAAGAGTTCATTTGAAAACAACAATATGTCTTCAAGTCGGGCTTCGTTTCTTCGTTCACACCGTGAACAGCAGCTAGAAACCCCAATATTTCGTAGTTCGAATAACCTTGAAGGAAGTAAGCTCGAATTAGTTCCGTTACATTTAACCCAGCATCTTGCGTAGCTGGTAAAACACATGAGAACAACACGAGTGCAACAAGCATCATCGTGAAATAAATCCCTACTGGTTTAAAACACAGAAAGAGTAAGAAAAGCGACTGGGTACGAGTCGGAAGTCAGAACTTGGAACTCGGAACTTGGAACTCGGAACTCGGAACTCGGAACTCGGAACTCGGAACTCGGAACTCGG